TGGGCTTATTGGCATCATTGGGATTATTGGGATCAGCGGTGCCGCTGCACGCTGCCCGCATCAGCTGGAATACCTGGGGATAGAGAATGGGATCATTAGGATGGGATCATTGAGATTGTTGGGACCATCGGGATGGGATCAGGATCACAGGGATCAGCGGTGCCGCTGCACGCCGCCCGCATCAGCTGGGACACCTGGGGATGGATAYGGGATCATCGGGATCACTGGGATTATTGGGATGGGAACGGGATCATCAGGATCACAGGGGTCAGCAGTGCCACTGCGCATTGCCCGCATCAGCTGCAACACCTAAAACGGGGATTGTCGAGATTATTTGGATTACAGGAATGGGATCGGGATCACAGGGATCAGCGGTGTCACTGCGCGCCGCCCACATCAGCTGGGACACCTGGGAACAGGGATTATTGGGATTGGGATCATCGGGATGGGATGGGGATCCCAGCTGTGACACTTGGGAATGGGATCACGGGGATCATCGGGATCATTGGGATCACAGACATTACCAGGATCTCACAGATTGGGATCTCAGCTGGGACACCAGGGAGTGGGGATCGGGATCGCAGGGACCATGGGGAATGGGGTCACAGGGATCGGGATCACAGGGATCACTGGGATCGGGATCAGCCCCAGGATCCCAGCTGAGAACAGGAATCACTGGGATCACTGGGATCACTGGGATCAGGATTATGGGGATCGGGATCACTGGGATCACTCCCGGGAGCGGGAACAGTCCTGGGATCCCACCCGGCCCCGGTGTCCCTCAGATACACCCATGGAGCGCCACGCCCGGTTATTCCATGCGGGAGGAGCAGCAGCCAGAGGGACTCCGGGATCACTCAGGGATCACTCCAGGATCGCTCTGGGATCGCTCCAGGATCTCAGGGATCTCTCTGGAATCACTCCAGGATCTCAGGGATTGCTCTGGGATCGCTCTGGGATCACTCCAGGATCTCAGGGATTGCTCTGGGATCGCTCTGGGATCACTCCAGGATCTCAGGGATCACTCAGGGATCGCTCCAGGATCTCAGGGATCGCTCTGGGATCACTGAGGGATCACTCTGGGATCGCTCCGGGATCCCAGGATTCCCAAGCAGCCCAAGCGGGATGGTGCAGCAGGCGCCAAGCGGGGCCAGGGGGGAATGGTGGGACAGGAGAAGCGGGGATGGGCCTTTCACACCCCAAATCTTAGTGTTTTACCCCAAATCCCAGTGTTTCACCCCAAATCCCAGCCCTTCACCCCAAATCCCACAGTTTCACCCCCAACTGGTGCCGGCATCACCTCCCCACCCCCTGGAATTCCAGCCGGGATAGGGTGGAGTGGGAAAGGCTCTGTCCTGAAGGTTCCCAATTCCCAAAATTCTTTCCTTCCTTTTGAAATTCCTTCCCAAATTCCTTCCAAAATTTCCTTCCCTTCCAAAACTCCTTTCAAAATTCCAAAATTTCTTCCAAAGTTCATTCCCAAATTTATTCCTTTCCTTCCTTCCTTCCTTCTCCAAAATTCCTTCCAAATTTTTTCCTTCCAAAATTCTTCCCAATTTTTTTCCAGAACTCCTTCCTTCCTTCTCTCATTTTTCCTTCCAAAATTCCTTCCTTCCAAAATTCCTTCCAAAACTCCCCCAAAATTCTTTCCTTCCTTCCAAAATGCCTTCAAAATTTATTCCAAAACTCTTTCCCAAATCCTTCCCTCCCTCCCTTCCCGATTCTGAGAATAAAAGGAACTTTTAGGAATTTTACAGGAAATTCCTGGAGATTCCCAGAAATTTAAGGAAATTGTCCAGAAATTTTCAGGAATTTCTGTGAATTTCCAGGAATTGTCCAGGAATTTCCATGAATTTCCCGGACTTTTCCAGAATTTCTGTGAATTTTCAGAAATTTCTCGGAATTTCTGGGAATTTCAAGGAATTTCTGATAGTTTTCAGGAATTTTCCAGGAATTTCTGTGAATTTACACTAATTTCCGGGAATTTTAGGGAATTTTTGGGAATTTCCATGAATTTTCTGGATTTGTCCAGGAACTTTCAGAAATTTCTGTGAATTTTCAGGAATTTTCAAAAAATTTGGGGAATTTTTGTGGACCTCTGGGAATTTCCGTGAATTGTCAGAAATTTCAAATAATTTTTGGGAATTTACAGTAATTTTCAGAAACTTGGGGGAATTTCCGTGGAATTCTGTGAATTTCCAGGAATTTTCTGGAAATTTGGTAAATTTTCGGGAATTTTCAGCAATTTTCAGAAATTTCCAGGAATTTTCAGGAATTTCCATGAGTTTTCAGAAATTTCTGTGAATTTCCATGTATTTCCATGAATTTTCAGGAATTTCTGTGAATTTTCAGGCATTTCCAGGAATCTCCATTAATTTCCATGAATTTCCGTGAATTTCCATGAGTTTGCATGGATTTCTGTGAATTTCCCTGAATTTCCATGAATCTCTGGAAATTTCCATGAATTTCCGTGATTTTCCATGAATCTCTGGAAATTTTCAGGAATTTCCGTGGATTTCCATGAATTTCCATTAATTTCCATTAATTTCCCTGAATCTCCCTGAAGTTTTAGAAATTTCTGTGAATTTCCGTAAATTTCCATGAATTTTCAGGAATTTCTGTGAATTTTTGGGAATTTCTGTGAATTTTCAGGCATTTCCAGGAATTTCCATTAATTTCCATGAA